AGACTGGATTACCTGCCTTAGTTCCATATGTAATTGATATCAAAATGGTCAGGTCCTCATGTTTTGGTCAGGATCCTGACCAGCTGGTGCTGATTGGTCAATTCAATCATTAACTAGTTTGTTTGGTTGTAGTTTTAAAAGTCCATCATATCCATTGGAAATGTCAATAACTAAGACATTGGTCACAATTTGGAACAGTATTCAGAATATAGAAAAACATGTTTAAAGCAATTTAAAATTGTTTTATTTCAGCCTGTCTCTGCTCTTATTGCTGCTGTAAGGCTGAAGTAACACATGCTTCACTCTTCTGCTTTTAACACACATCTTCTATAGGGAAACTTGTGAGAAAGGAATATCCATGTGATATAAATGTCAGCCAATCAAAATGGTAGGATTGGTAGACCTGACCTGTTGTAGTTTGAATCAAAGCCTAGCAGGAAAAAACACTATGCCAGGTAATCCAGTCTATGGCTTACTGTTGAACACCAGATATATGGGTATTGGCCATAGTGCTAGCCATTGTAGATTAGTCAATAACTACTGTTGTCAGGATTGTTTTCCTTATCCTTGCTGACACAAAGTATAATTCTTGTGCTTCTTAGCTCAGGTTAATGGTTATACCCAGTATCTATATCATTTAGCTTTTATTTGTGTAGATTATTGTCCCCTGATAATACTTGGAGTGAATGTTGTGATGGTGTTTGTATATATACCGGTCTGACATTATCAGTATGCCCGCACCTCTATACACACTAAAGTACACTTGAGTAGAAATTATTCTTTATGAATATTGTTGAATTCAACAGAGCAAACTGTAGGCTTACTAGCTAGTGTGAGAAATATTACTGAGTTTATATACATAATACATGTACTATTAGGTTAATCCATTCCTGAAGCTTCACAAAGAAAGAAAAAATTGAATACTTTTCAATATTAAGAGATATTAAGGATAATGATATGAACCATTTAAATGAAAAATTACTGGTGTAAAACTGAATGAGCAAGTAATAGTTTGCTGTACTGGTATTGGTGGTTTTTGTTGTATATTTCATCAACTTGATTCACATATCCAAACCATACCAGGAATGTTTTCACTTTTTGGACAGCAGTCAGAATTCTGTTTTGGCAACTGTTGTATAATAACAGGTTATGTAACTGATGCTAATAAATCTTTTGTTCCATTTAGAAAAAGAAAAAATGGTACAACTGTTGTATAATAACAGGTTATGTAACTGATGCTAATAAATCTTTTGTTCCATTTAGAAAAAAAAAAAAAAATGGTACAACTGTTGTATAAATTGGGTGTCAAAATTGTACTGGTATGTGCGTTAGTTTGTGAACATAGAGCTGCATTATTTAACAATTACAGTCAATGTTTCTTTGTTGCTACCATAAATTCAGGTTTTTTGAATTTCACCTTGTCCTTTGTTGAATGGTGTATATATAGACAGGTGTATAGGAAGTGTAGTTGGTTTATCACAGAAACTTGATGCATCCTCTCCAGATGTATCCTAAAGGTGCTGTTTGGTTTGTTTGTGCTTTATGTCCTATTAATAGTTTTGGTCATTTAGTGAGCCAGGTTTAGGTGGCGGAGGAAATCCATGTAGACCTCAAATCTGGGACTCAGTGGTGGAGGGCTAGTTAGCATAGGCGGTCAGACACCTTAACCACTTCGAACATTCTTAAAACATTATCCGTATTAAATATTCAAATGTAGGAATTTCCCTTTTTGATATATATACCTGTACAAGTCACCTTCAGGTACAACACCTTTTTTAGTACAAAGTGAAATACAGGTACAAGGTCACTTACAGCACAAGGTTATATATAGGTACAAGGTCATCACCAATATGTACAAGGTCAACTATTATTGTAGATTTACCTGTCAGAAAAGTCACTTATAATTGATAAGAGATTTAATTTACCGACTGTCTGACACAACAGTCAGGATATCTGACCACTGGGGAGTGTGGTACTGGCTACCTTGGTCTTATCTCAGGACATACAGGCTTATCTGTCCAGGTAAGCTCCAGGATTTAATATGTGGACATGGACACCCGTGTTCCTTTACAAGTATGGAGTTGTTTGTACAGGGACACCCGGGTAACTTTACAAATATGGGGTTGTAAGTTTAGGAACACCCAGGTTCCTTTACAAGTATGGGGTCGTAAGTTTAGGAACACCCAGGTTCCTTTACAAGTATGGGGTTGTTAATACAGGGACACCAGGTTCCTTTACAAGTATAGGGTTGTTAGTACAGGGACACCGGGTTACTTTACAAATATGGGGTTGTTAGTACAGGGACAACAGGTTCCTTTACAAGTACAGGGTTGTTAGTTCAGGGACACCAGGTTCCTTTACAAGTATAGGGTTGTTAGTACAGGGACATCAGGTTCCTATACAAGTATAGGGTTGTTAGTACAGGGACATCAGGTTCCTTTACAAGTATAGGGTTGTTAGTACAGGGACAACAGGTTCCTTTACAAGTACAGGGTTGTTAGTTCAGGGGCACCAGGTTCCTTTACAAGTATAGGGTTGTTAGTACAGGGACATCAGGTTCCTTTACAAGTATAGGGTTGTTAGTACAGGGACATCAGGTTCCTTTACAAGTATAGGGTTGTTAGTTCAGGGGCACCAGGTTCCTTTACAAGTATAGGGTTGTTAGTACAGGGACATCAGGTTCCTTTACAAGTATGGGGTTGTTAGTTCAGGGACACCAGGTTCCTTTACAAGTATAGGGTTGTTAGTACAGGGACACCGGGTTACTTTACAAATATGGGGTTGTTAGTACAGGGACACCAGGTTCCTTTACAAGTACAGGGTTGTTAGTACAGGGACACCAGGTTCCTTTACAAATACATGGTTGTAAGTACAGGGACACAGGGTTACTTTACAAGTATAGGGTTGTTAGTACAGGGACACAGGGTTCCTTTATTGATTTAAGGGTTTTCAGTCAGTGACACCTAAATTCTGTTACTTATTCAAATAAATGGCATCCACAATTGTCATTTTACTTGATTCACAGCATTCATCAAATTATTGTTTTATTTCTTAACTAAGTACAATTAAATAACACTATGAAAGAGGATGAAATGGAATTTATAGTACTTTGACATACATCCCCTTGACGATTTGGATACCATCCCATCAAATTACGCCAGATTTAGTCGCTCCATTGCTGTCTACTGTTCTGTCCTTTGTGTGAACAGACTTTTAACTAGTTGTCATATTCAACTTTAAAAAAACAAGAGTATCAACAGTTTTACCTGAAATACTAATGCAAAGGTATTTTAAACACATCGGTAATCGGCAGTTAATGTGTACGATTCATTGACAGATATTTATATCATGTTGACAATGAGCTGGGTAATAGTTGTTAACAGATGACTATATTGATGTTTACAATGAGCTTGGTAATAGTCGTAAACAGATGACTATATTGATGTTGATAATGAGCTCGGTAATAGTTGTAAACAGATGACTATATTGATGTTGACAATGAGCTCGGTAATAGTCGTTAACAGATGACTATATTGATGTTGACAATGAGCTTGATAATAGTCGTTAACAGATGACTATATTGATGTTGACAATTAGCTTGATAATAGTCGTTAACAGATGACTATATTGATGTCGACAATGAGTTGGGTAATAGTCGTTAACAGATGACTATATTTATGTTGACAACGAGCTCGGTAATAGTCATTAACAGATGACTATATTTATGTTGACAATTAGCTCGGTAATAGTTGTAAACAGATGACTATATTGATGTTGACAATGGGCTTGATAATAGTCGTTAACAGATGACTATATTGATGTCGACAATGAGTTGGGTAATAGTCGTTAACAGCTGACTATATTGATGTTGACATTGAGCTCGGTAATAGTCGTGAACAGATGACTATATTGATGTTGGCAATGAGCTCGGTAATAGTCGTTAACAGATGACTATATTTATGTTGACAACGAGCTCGGTAATAGTCATTCACAGATGACTATATTGATGTTGACAATGAGTTTGGTAATAGTCGTTAACAGATGACTATATTGATGGTGACAATGAGCTCAGTAATAGTCATTAACAGATGACTATATTGATGTTGACAACGAGCTCGGTAATAGTCATTAACAGATGACTATATTTATGTTGACAACGAGCTCGGTAATAGTCATTCACAGATGACTATATTGATGTTGACAATGAGTTGGGTAATAGTCGTTAACAGATGACTATCTTGATGTTGACATTGAGCTCGGTAATAGTCGTTAACAGATGACTATATTGATGTCGACAATGAGTTGGGTAATAGTCGTTAACAGCTGACTATATTGATGTTGACATTGAGCTCGGTAATAGTCGTGAACAGATGACTATATTGATGTTGGCAATGAGCTCGGTAATAGTCGTTAACAGATGACTTTATTGATGTTGACAATGAGCTTGATAATAGTCGTTAACAGACGACTATATTGATGTTGACAATGAGCTTGATAATAGTCGTTAACAGACGACTATATTGATGTTGATAATGAGCTCGGTAATAGTCGTTAACAGACGACTATATTGATGTTGACAATGAGTTGGGTAATAGTCGTTAACGGACGACTATATTGATGTTTACAATGAGCTTGATAATAGTCGTTAACTGATGACTGTATTGATGTTGACAATGAGCTTGGTAATAGTCGTTAACTGATGACTGTATTGATGTTGACAATGAGCTTGATAATAGTCGTTAACAGATGACTGTATTGATGTTGACAATGAGCTTGGTAATAGTCGTTAACTGATGACTGTATTGATGTTGACAATGAGCTTGGTAATAGTCGTTAACAGACAACTATATTGATGTTTACAATGAGTTGGGTAATAGTCGTTAACAGATGACTATATTGATGTTGACAATGAGCTTGGTAATAGTCATTAACAGACGACTATATTGATGTTTACAATGAGGTATAGATGGTAACGGATGTTTATATTTATATACCTACAGATGGACTGGCCAAACTTAAGGAGAAGATAAGGAAGCAGCAGGAGAAATCCTCCTCACCTGTCCCACCAGGTAAGTTATAGCAAATCAATGACTTGTTTAATGATTGTGTCGTTTTATTTTTGACAGAATGTTTCCTTCAAATCAGTTACTTATCAGGATGAGGCTTTTGCCTGTAGATAGAAAGCAGGTAACACCAGGACTTAATTCTATGCATAGTAACTCAAATGAAGGGTCTCCAGTTCAAGGTTTAGGGTGTGAATGCAGATTCAGCAAAAAAAGGCAAATGGCAAGTGAAACCATTCCAGGAAGAACTCAACGTTGTGTGGCTACATGTGGATTGTCTGTCCAGGCAATACAAATTATTGACTGTTGCATCCTTATTTAATTACTCTTCTCCCTTACTGTGTTGAAAAACTAGAAGATTCTTGTCTACAGCAAGGCACTCTCTACACCAGTGAAAGACCCTCCTTAGGGAAACTTACCTACAGCCTTTCCATCAGGGTGTATCTCTTACAACTTGTACACTTAGCAGTGCTGTAGGACTTTCAAGCAAGGAAACAGTGGCCACAGCTCTTTCTTCTGTCATGGTTTGGGTAACTTCACACCTACAACCTTTCCAATACTAATGTAGAGAGGTCATTGTTACTGCATTCTATGATGGGAAGGATTTTGTAGACTTCAAATTATACTGTTCAGTCAGAAGAATGCTGCAAAAATTAATGGTGGTGGCAATTAACTATAAATCGACTGTGATTGGTTCTGTCAATGAAGAGTAAATGATTGGAATGTGCCTCATCAGCCTAAATGAAGGTTGTCCCAGCTTACTGTGAAGCTCTGGGACCTACACTGGATATTGATATTGTCACAGGACTGTTATATATGTAAACAAAGCACTGGGTCAGAGGTGTGTTTAACTATCGAATTAACAAGTTTCCTTCTTTGAGATAAAGTTTGGGTGGGAAACCACCATGTACAAACATGATTGTTCTTTTTTCCACATACTGCTGTCCAAACCTTATGTGGCACGATTCTGGGGTTTCCTTTTTCACATGTATATATACTGTTATTGTTTTGATGTCACTGACATCCCCAATACATGACTAGAGATATAACAATGGTTACACTAATTGCATTAATAGTTATGAGTGTAGGTTAGTGGAATTAGGTCATATAAAGGATTGTTTACCCAGCTAAGGAGGCGTGCTTGATTCTATTATCAGAGAAACCTATCAGAACAGTTGTTGCAGAACTGATAGTGTATTAAACCCAACAAGATCAATACAAACAAGGCAGACATGAATATTTCACTATTTTACATATTTATAACCCATCAGCAAGATTTAGTGTGTCAACAATTTCATACTTAATTTACCTGGATGTAAACATTCCAATATATACTTTGTTGACCAGACTGTAATAAGTTCCCTACATGGTTTGCCTATACATAAAACGTGTTAAGTTCCTACGTTTGCCAGCATGTTAAAACGTCAGCACCTTTTGCTCGGTTTCTTTTTTCTTCCACTTTCTTCTGCCACTTTTCTCAAAAAGAAATTGGCCAGAAAATAACGAAACTTAACATATTTGTTTGAGAATGGAAGGCAGTGTTCAAGGATGGAAGGCAGATTGCAAACAACTTTTCGTTTTTCAATCGATCATGCAATATGGTAGCCACGCCGTAGCTCTGATTGGTCGAAATTGATATATTGACTAATTTCGCTCAAATATAGTATGTAGATGTATGATGATACTGTGAACACTACGGCAGCTTTCTTATGGGGAAAATGGCTGCCATAAATTGGCTTCTGATTGGTTGCAATTGAGATATTTGACATATTTCACTCAAATTGATGTATGGTTGGTGTGTGTTGTGTATGTTGGTACGATGAGCAATACGGTTGGTGTGTGTTGTGTATGTTGGGACGATGAGCAATACTTCCATTAGCATCATTAGTGGCTGTGGAGGGGTATGGTTGGTGTATGTTGTGTATGTTGGTACAATGAGCAATACTTCCATTAGCATCATTGGTGAGTGTGGAGGTGTATGGTTGGTGTGTGTTGTGTATGTCGGTACGATGAGCAATACTTCCATTAGCATCATTAGTGAGTGTGGGGGTGTATGGTTGGGGGGGGTTGTGTATGTTGGTACGATGAGCAATACTTCCATTATCATCATTAGTGGCTGTGGAGGTGTATGGTTGGTGTGTGTTGTGTATGTTGGTACAATGAGCAATACTTCCATTAGCATCATTAGTGAGTGTGGAGGTGTATGGTTGGTGTGTGTTGTGTATGTCGGTACGATGAGCAATACTTCCATTAGCATCATTAGTGGCTGTGGAGGTGTATGGTTGGTGTATGGTTGGTGTATGTTGGTACGATGAGCAATACTTCCATTAGCATCATTAGTGAGTGTGGAGGTGTTTCGTGGACTTCTTTAATAGCCACCGTTAAAATCAGCACTTAATTGGTAGCATGAGGTTTACCAAAAGCTGGATATTTTCAGCAATGGTATACCTTAATTGATATACAGAAAGTTTCCCAGGGTGTTTATATAACTGGTTTACCTTTATGTAAATAGAGATCCTGAAAACAAATGCTTTTTGAAGATCGAAATTCTTTGTAAATAAATGCAGATTTTTATTTATATTTTTTTACTTTAAAAAGTACAGTTTTGTAAGATCGAAAATAACAAAGCAGTTGTTGAGAATTTTGGCATACAGTCGTGTCAGCTTCATGATTTGGTTTTATTTTAAGTGCAAGTATGATAGGTATGAATGGTTGTTTACAGCCGGATCCATAAATTAGTATGGTTGATGGTGGTGAAGCTCTAATGACCAGTTGACCTTGTAAAGTATTCTTGACCTTGAAATGCCATTGAGATCGGTTGGAAAATTTAATTCATCTACGATTGAAAGACATGCTAAAACTGGCTTACATAATGCTGCTTAGTCTCCTCTCAATATATGATGTAGCCAAAACACCAAATGTCACACACATGATTAAAATGATATTCCCCATGGGAAAGACTGTTGGATAAAGATTTGCGCTGGTTTGGATGCATGCACGTATAAACTTTGTTAAGTGTGTCATAAGTGAGGGTTATACATTGACATATTTATTAGGATACTACTTATAATATTCTATACTATACAAACATTTGTGTATAAAGTGATGGTTTGTCTCTTAGAAGTTTACTCGAGTCTCGGGGAATATGTTGAGTAGGTGACCAATACCTTTTAATGTCAGATCAGAGAATCCAGCCCCGGCTGACTTGGTGAAAGGCGACTGCACTACCCACTGTGCCACTCATTTAAAGGAAAGTTCTCACCTCATGCTTCCAAAGTGTTTCTATTTTGGTTAGGTAGACTCCTACTGATTCAGCATGTTAGGTCCTCGTACAAAGTGTCAGTGAGCTTACGACCAAACCCTACGCGTTAATGACTTCTTCCATAGTTATTGGTCAAGAATGACTCTGGGGATTTTGATTAAAATAAGTATGGAGTGTCCCTGGGCATGTAAAGGACTTCTATTTAGACTCGGTTTTGTTGATAAATAAAAATAGACCCTATGGATATCTTGACTTTTGAAATCAACAAATTCCTACATTAGATTCAGTTAATTTCATGCATAGAGTAAATTAAATTGTTACCTGACTCGCTATATAAATGCATATTAATCAATTTCGACTGTTTCCCAGACAATTCACCAAACGAACTATAGCTAATGTGTGCTACCGTAAAACTGTTGACTGGTCACCGTAAAACTGTTGACTGGTCACGTGAAACTGTTGACTGGTCACGTGAAACTGTTGACTGGTCACGTGAAACTGTTGACTGGTCACGTGCAACTGTTGACTGGTCACATGTTAGGTAATCGAACGCACCTATAATTACAAGCACCCCGATGACCAAGCGTTTTTGGTACTGGATTGTTGACGGTTGTCTGTCGGTAGATCTAAACATCACATTCGACATAGAACTTTTTGGTTTTTCATTGGTCAAGTAACAAAACAGTTGTTTCATGCCTTATCAGTCAACAGTCAAAACTATTTTCCCGAGGCGTTGGGACCCTCCAGATGAACTGTTTCCCGAGGCCGCAGGCCGAGGGAAACAGTTCATTTGGTGGGTCCCAACTCCGAGGGAAAATGGTTTTGACTGTTGACTGATAAGGCATGAAACAACTGTATACTGTTCAATTCTTGTTTTGTAAAATAGGGTTATTGTTTGTACTTTAAGATTTTACTCACTTTTCCTTTGCCATGAAAAACTTGAAAGGTTGACAAATATGTTATCTCTACACAATCTGGAACTGGTCTGTATCTCTAAAAAAATCTGAATACCATACCATTTATTGAATTCAAAGGTCCTTAAAATATTCAAAGATTTTAATTTATTGATTTAGTTAATGAAAGTCTAAAGCTATATAAACTTTTGTCAAAGTTATCAGAGCCATGTTATATACTTGAATTGACAATTAAATGACTGTGTCTACAATCTTGTCTTGTGAAGGTTGAAAGGTTTCCAAAGATTCAGCTTGAAAATGCTTTCCTTTCAAAGGCTAATAGTGTGTATCGGTTAGATTTTACTTTCAAATCGTTGACTTATCTGGACCCTAGGACCAGAAGACTAGCAGCCAATGACTTGGGCCCCAGATATGTCTAGCAAATATATGCAGTGTATATTTCTAAAGTGTTTTCCACAAACTTGTATTTATAGTGTGATAAAAGATCAATAAATTTGGCTGAAGTTGGCAAAGGAACAAGTCCCAGCGATTGTGGGGCTTCCAACCAGTCTATGGTGGATCTATTGAGTGTGGGTAAACAGCATTTACCAAATGTTGGAAATAAGAATTCTAAAGATTTGCTATATGGCTCAATGATATATACAGGTGTACCCAGGTACGCGAGTACATGTATGTATAGAGATTTAGATCGTTACAGGTATGCCATAGACAGGTATAGATATTAAAGTATACCTAGGTAGATTACACATGTGTATGTGGGTCTAAACAGGTGAGCTATGTAAAATGTCAGGATAGAGTTTAGACATGGGATGTACCTGGATTTAAGCTGC